CGGCACAGGCTTCATGCAAGACAGCCCCACCTCCCCGTCCACTTCCGCGCATACGCGCGTCTCGTTGTCCTGTCAAGCAGAAGGGTTTTGCGATCGCCGGGGGGGGGGGTGGGGGTGTTGCGTGGACATTCCCAAGATGGCGTTTTTTCTTTGCCCGGTACCTCGTCTTCCTCACCAAGGTGGTATCTGCTGCTGCTGCTGCTGCTGCTGCTGGATGATCGTGAAACAGAGGTTAACCTTCGTACATGTATCTGTCCACCTTTCGTGTTCCCTCCCTTAGCGCGGAGGCGGATCGTTGTCCTTCGTTTGAGATTATAGATGAAAATCCACAAGCATTTTTTGTTTCACATCTGTGTCGCCTCGGCGTTCTTCCTATCGCTCTGTTCACGCTGCTGCTGTGTTGCGTTCTCACTTACAAAACCCTTTCACGCTTAACCTCCGCTCTTCTCATGTGAAGAAGAAATTGGTTTCCTGTTTCGCAAAGTAACCTACTTTCTTTCATCGGGTCTTTCAGTAGTCTCGAACTCTGATACTCGGTGTCATGCGTACGTCCCGCTACAACCGCCGCCGTTATTCCACCACCTTTTCGTCCTACAGCAGTACCAATCTCTTTCTTTTTTTTTCCTTCTGTTTAGTGGTTGGAGTAAACGACACAAGTTCTGTGAGCGCTGATTTGAACTCAAGACCAAAAAAAAAAAAATGGTACGTACCTCTCTGTCGGTCATTTGAGCTCTTTTCACAACAATAGTCTATGTTTGATCCTTTCTCTTCTTCCTCACAACAGGTGAGCTTACCGCTGAAGCCGCCGCCGCAGCCGGACCCTCCAGAGAACTGGCCTTACCTCAGGCTTGCCCTCCGACCACTAGACTCCGCCCAGCTCAAGGACACCCTCTCCACGCCGGAAGGTGACCTGACCTTTTCTTTTGGCCTTTTTTGCGTTTTGTTTTTTTCAAGTGGTTGTTCTTTTTTTAATTGTTGACGGAGGGTAAAACTGCTGTTCCCGACGAGTTAATATGGTTTAGATAATTCTGAGTTTGTTTGGATTTTTATTTTTTCCGTCCCTCTCGCCAATGCATATATATCGTTGTGCTTGATTTTTTTTGTGGAGTGAACGTTGTCCTTGTTGCTCGTCTACCCTATCTTTTTGGCCCTTTCGTCTTCTAGTGTTTGCATTGTTGCCTCATTTTTTTTTTCGCGCTTCATGTTTTGTGTTCTGTGCGTCGTCGCAGGTTGGGCACGGCATAGACCCACTTGATTTGTTCAACTGTGTTCATCAAGACCGGTTTGATTTTCTATTTCTTGGGTACCCGTCGTTTTGTCCCTCTCTCACTCACGATTTCCCTTCTTCCATTGTTATGGCGTGCTTCGTGGTTTCTGCCGTGCGAACCAGGCGGGGCGAGGCCCTTTCTGGCAAACCCCCTGTCCCCGCACGTCGTGATGGTGACGTTCTACAACGCGGTCGACACGCTGTGCTGCTTGAAACCCACCCGGGACGGAATGCAGGTATGTATAGATCTGGAGTCAGGCAGTTATCAGTAACTAAGTAGCAGACTGTTCACAGATTTCTATTTTTGTTTTGTTTTATTTATTTTGGTTCGTTGAAGTTCGCTGGGCTCTTCGAGTCAGAAACACGTCAGCGGTGTGAGCTGTTTGAGCTGTTTGAGCTGTATTGAGCGGTTTTGAGCGGTTTTGAGGTTGGAAAACGTCGTACCGTGGTATGGCGTTTAGCTGGGGGTTGTTGCTCCTTGGTTATTTTTTTATGTTGTATCATCCCTTGACTGCACTGCATGCGCTCTCAATATGTAGCCCATTCCGGAGGTAATAACTTGCACTTTTGTAATAATTCTATTGCATGCGCACCTGGCATGTTGTGCATGCAATCGAATTGTTAGAAAATTGCGTATCATCCCTCCGGAGTGGCCTCATGAGAGCACATCAGTGGTGATGAAAGATGAAATATTATCAAGGAGCACGACCAACCCCCGGCCGTGATACTGCGGTGCGACGTGCTCCAAGCCCAAACAGCTCACACAGCTGACGTGTTTTCTGTACGCACAACAACCATTTGAGCGTTTTTTTTTTAACCGTTGCAGATTATTGTGTAGCATGGGGAGTCGTTTTACAATCCGCCGCCGTTACGTTGCCTCGCTCCGTCGGTAAGGATAAACAGCTTCTGACGCTCCTCTCCGGTCCTCTCCGATCCCAAACCAGTTGTCGTTGTCGGCTGTTGCGTTCTGGCTCCTTCAGCAGCCGGTACATACCAACTCGGTGTTTTAGCTTGGACCCCACGATACGGCCACTTGGCGCCCGAAGCACAGCAGTCTCCCTCGACCTTGTCTTGTAACCCCCCCCACCCCCCGGCCTGCCCCGCCTTCTTGAGCCACCAATGGCCAAAGTAGTTTGCGAGAAACGATTGGCCATCTGTGATCAGTCCTGTGTCGAACAATGCTCCCGTCCCCTCGACGACGCGTGGCCAATTATCTAACCGCTCTACTGTTATTACGGCATGCAAAACATGAGTACCCCTTCCCTCCCCTACCCCGCTCACTTTTGGAAACCCCAGGTGGCTGCCGGGTTCACGGACCGCATGGTCCGCGCCTGGCGCACGGCCCCGAACGCTCCCCACCCCCCGACAGCAGACGGAACGGCTGCGGTTCCAGCAAGAACGACAACGGGCAGCAGCAGCAGCAGCAGCAGCAGCGGCGGCGGCAACACCGCAGTCGACAGCAAACCTTCGCCGGGGGAGAGAAACGGCGCCGCTGCCGGAGGCGGAAGCGGGCAGCAGCAGCAGGACTCCGGTTTGGCCGACACGGTCAGGCTTGTGGGGCACTCTCAGCCTGTCTACGGGGTTTCCTGGTCCCCGGACGGGCGTTTCTTGCTGTCCGCCGGGGGGGACGGGGGCGTGCGGCTGTGGGACATTGCGAGGGGCAGGGTGGGGGGCTCCGCGGGATACGTTCGCTACGACGGTCACTGGTGAGAACTACTATACTATACTATCATAAATATCTTCCAGCTTGGATGTTTCTTGTTTGTTTTTGAGGATGTGGATGCCGAAGCTGTGTTGCTTTGAGCACGACTTTTCCCTCCACAGGTGACAAAAGGTTTTTGAGAGCTCTGGTTGGTGAGTGGTACCGGACGACAAAAATTGACACAGCCAGTACAGAAGGCGGCCAGATGAAGACAGCTGATGTGTTGATGTGAGGCTTGTAGTATCCTCCAGTAACCCCCCTCGGCCGTCACGCCCAGACTTGGGAATTGGCATGTAGACTGACTGCAGCATGTCTAGGAACCCGCAACCAGAGCAACGAGAGCAAAATTATCCTTTTTCTTTTACAACATTCCTGTGCCGCTGCTGGTGGTAGTATTTTTCTGGCGGTAGTGGTTTCTACCGCTGTTGCTGCGGCTACTACTTCTCACCGAACCCTGTTCCTCTCTCGTAATTTCTAATACGAACAAACCCCTGCTGTCGTCATCAGCGGTCCCGTGTGGGATGTGGCGTTCGGGCCTGCCGGGTACTACTTCGCGACGGCCTCGGACGATCGAACGGCCTGCCTCTGGAGCACGGACTGCGCCTCGCCGTTAAGAATTTTCGCCGGGCACTTGAAAGGAGTGCTCTGTGTCACGTGAGTCTCTTATTAATTTTGTCGCGCACTTGGATGCTGGTGTGTGTGTTCTGTTGTTGTTGTCGTTGTTGTTGGGCATTTCTGCCTTTTTTTGCCGCTGTTGGACCGCTCTTGCATACGTGCGCTCTTCGACATTCTTTTTATACATAGCATCGTCCGCGCTACTTGCTGAAGGAGGGATTGATCGTCCAGTCGGCAACGGTCTTGGAAAAATGAATCGCCAGGATATACTGTTGTACCGAGACCCTGACCTCCTTTTCGTGCGCACTTGGAATGACTTTTAAAGTTTATCCTTACCTTTTTCCTTTTTGGCGCCTCTCTCTTGCTCCCGCCCCCCCCTGCGTACGTATGGGATGGTTTTCGCGCGCTGTTGTGCCGCAGTTTTCACCCCAACGCCAACTACGTGGTGACCGGTAGCATGGACAAGACGGTCCGCGTTTGGGACGTGCAGACCGGGGACTGTGTTCGGCTGCTGGCGGGCCACTCGGGGAGCGTGACGTGTGTTGCTGTGTCGCCCAGCGGGCGCCTGGTGCGTCGTTGTGGTTGTGGTGTTCGTTGTTGGTATTTTTGCTGTTGGTGCTACTTTTACTGCTGTTGTTGTTGTTGTTGTTGTTGTTGTTGTTGTTGTTGTTGTTGTTGTTTGTTGAAGTTGTTGCTGCCGCTGCTGCTTCTGTTGCACAGCCCAAAGAACGTGTGGAGCAGCACATCCTCGCGTCTGCCGGTTTTGTTCCCAACACACTTCGGCCCCTTTCCGGTCGTGTGTTTTGGGATGATGTTATCTCCTGCTTTTGCGACATGCACACGACCCTTTCCCCTCCCCCTCATCTCGGTTGCCCCTCCCACACGGGCTGACCATGAGACGCTCGCTGTCCCACCGACTCGTACAATACAAGTATGGGATCCTCCCTCCCCCATTGCCGTGCATGCCGTAGTCGTTGGGCCATTCACTTCGCATCCCTACAAAGCCGGGACGGAGCATGCCGGGTTCTCACCGGACCAGGCTCTCCCCCCCCCCCCCCCCCCCCCTTTTTCCGGATCCATGTTTTGACAAAACCCAACGGGGTCCTCCGAAAAAGCCCTAAAGGGGGGGGAACCGGCCCCCCGGGGGGCTCTGGGCCTGTTTAAAGGGCCCAAGGAAGAACTCCAAAACATCCACTTCCGCGCGGGGGGTAAAAAAATAAAAAAACTCTAAAAAAGGGTTCGGAAAAACCATCCACCCCTGGCGTACTGGGTAATTATGGAGTACTTTCAAATAATTGATATTATCCGGAAGGGGGGGAAAAACCCTCCGAAACCGAATTTCTCTCACCTAATCTCTCTTGAACCGTAACCGCTACTGTATAAAAATATGAAATACCCAAACCCGTCCCCTGAATTTTCCCCCCGAGC